TCTTTCCTGATAGCGTTGACTATTGTGGCCATTAATAGCTATGTTGGTAAGTATGAATTACATACTATCCGTAGATTTCCAATGCGAGTGTGTGAATATTTTTTTTTTTTTTTCTTTAGAACCCTACATAACTTCACCAGACACAGACACTAATCGTTACTTGATTTTAATCCGTGCGATTAGTTAACCAGGCTAGACCTGAGTTCTCACAAGAAACACCGACAATAATAATAATAATACCTATATAAAACCTATACAGCACTACTAGCTCACAAAATACTGTAATATCTCCATCAATAACCCAAGCAACCTCACAAATACAACCTCAAGAACAAAGAAACACCATAAACACAAGTAACACAACATGTACTACAAAGACAGGTCCATCCAATAAAGTTACACGCCCTAGCACAGTTAAAAAACACAATACTCCTTCTTCTCAGAAACAACCCACTCCATTTAATAAAATTACAGGAATTATTATAATGATTTTTTTTTGTTTTGTTTTGCTCTTTCCTGATAGCGTTGGCTATTGTGCCCATCAATAGGTATGTTGGTAAGTACGAATTACATTATCCCTAGATGTCCAATGTACGTGTGTGATTTTTTTTTTTTTTTTTAATGACCCTACATAACTTCACCAGACACAGACACTAATCGTTACTTGATTTTAATCCGTGCGATTAGTTAACCAGGCTAGACCTGAGTTCTCACAAGAAACACCGATAATAATAATACTTTATTGCTCAAACAGAAAACATTCCAATGATAGAGCAACAATACAATTACAATTACAAGAGTGAAATTAAAATAATGTAACTAACATAGTATACTTAAGTAAATTAATATTATAAACATACAAAATTTGTAAAAGTGCATTGAAAGATAATTAAATTCGATTAAATTAAATATTTTGTATTCGTATTATACGCTGTCTAATTGTGAAGACAATTTTACTTTGAGTTGATGTTTGATAATAAACCAGTATTTTTTTCGTACCTAATTTGATTTGTACTGTTATTAAGCTCTTATTTTGTGTTCCAACCCTGAGCTAGTTTGCCGTTTATGCGGCGGGTTTGAGGTAACGCAGCGCCAACTCTGCCAACCGTTATAAAGCATGAGGCGATTTTGGTAGCGTGGAAAATGTAATGTGGCATATTTGATTTGTACGTGGGCTCTCGTTCGATGTGTAGTGCAGAAACGACCCAATGATTAAAGATGGCCTGTTTGCATTAATAAAAAGCCATTATGTAGGCATTAATTAAGTAATTTGCATGTATTTGTTCTTGGGCTACGAAATCATCACTTACCTACGTGGTCAAAGATATTCATTTAAAAAACCGCAAGATTAATTCGGATATGAAAAGCAAGTAGTTTTTCGTGTGTTAATCGCGCAGTCACTGTGTGGTCAGATTAATAGTTTCCGCATTATGTTTCAAGCAACAAAAAAGTTCGTTCGCGCTTTATCGGGTTGAAAGTTGCAGTCTCTCGCACACATCCCCCTTTGTTAAGGTCAAGATCAAGTTCGCAGAACAAAATCTTCATATATTTACAAATTTCGTCGGAAAAACAACTAAACCATTTGGTTTCACCTCCCCAAAATACCCCCAAATACGATTTATTAATATTCCAATAATATAATAATATTGAAAATGGCTAACGTTTCAACCTTCTATCAACAGTAGAGATGGATATGGTGCAGGTGATGATTTGTAAGTACCAATTAAAGCCCAAGTGGTGATGCTATTTTTCCTTTCTTACAATGAAATTCCTTTTCAATCCATGATACGGCTCTGTATAGACCGCTATAACTGCCGCAATGTGTAAGTTCACAATAATCCCATAACCCATAATGAAATATGCACTATAGTACGTCATTGGTCTACTAGCTTAGAGAATGGGTAGTCAAACTCAATCATGTCAGAAACCAGCTCTCGAATCCTCGGGAGGTACCCACGTTTGGGTACAACAGAAATCATTGTGACAAGGACGTCCTCACTGTCAATATTCGAAAAATCCGGAACGTCATCGCTCTCTTTCATATTTGTCGCTAGTAGCCAAATCGCAATGAGCAACACAAACCCCGAAAGCTTCCGTAGATGCTCTAATAAGATTGGAAACGGAAGGAGAACCTCAGGATCGCTTCCGAGTTCTCGTAAGAACGACGAGAGGCTATCATAATATTCGTCTATTAATTTTGTGTAATACTGTTTTCTCAGCTCCCCGTCACTGCTTAGGAAAAGAAAAAATAGTACGTCTAAAGCGGGTGAGGCTAGATGCATCATTTGCCAATCTAAAATGCACAGCTCGGTAGGATGTTCGGGGTCATGCTAAAACATTAGAACTTGCACTTTGTTCGATGGTACCTAACAAACACTTACCCCGTACTTGAAGAGAAGGTTCCGTAATTCCATATCACCGTGAGCCACAACGGCATATTTTTTATCATCGCTGCTAACAACAAGGCCGCTTTTGTAGATGGTTGATAAATCACCTGCGAATTCCTTTAGAGCTCTCCGCTCCTTTTCACGTTGGTGCGGAGGATACGAGTTCACCACTGCACTGACCAGTCTAGTTATGCCCTTTAATGCGGGCACCTGAATACTACTGGAGAAAAAGTACTCATGGCATTGATCCTCCCAACTGTCAAAAATCTCCGGCTTTTGATCGCGTATTGCGTACGAAAGTGCGTGAAACCTACCCATCTCCCTCATAACAAGCGAAGCGTGGGGATAGTCTACGGGTATTCGGTGGTTTATAAGTCTAAACCCCCTCTTTTTTACGTTCTCCATTAGTAAAGATTCTCGCAGATTGTCAGTCCTCGACGCGTACATCCTGGCAAACGCTTGAAAATCGCGCGGCAACTTTTTCTCGTCCTGAATTCGAGAAAACTCGCATAGTATTTCCTTGTAGGCGAATATTTCCGTTTTATAGATTTCACGCACTGGCATCACAATCCTGAAGTAGTCTTCTTGAGGTGCCAACTTCACAACCAGGTGAATAGTACCGTTGTCGTCACTTACTGAAACATTGTAGATTAACCCCAGAAAATTGTCGCCATTTTCCAACGCGCTGTTTGATATTTCGATTGGACAGCTGATACGATCGGGAAAGGCTGCGGTCACTAAACTTCGAGCCAAGTTTTCGATCTCCGCGGTGACGGAGGACATTTCTGGAAAGGTCTAAAACCAAGTTATCAATTATAATCTTAAAATAAGCGAAGAGTTGATTGTGTATATGCATGGATCCAATTTAAATTGAAAATTGAGACTCAAACATTTGCTATTTCTAAAGGCGATCGATTTCAGGGGGTTTGTTTGCTTATTGTTCTAGAAGCGATTTTTTAATTGGTCGCGATTTGTCTTTAATTTGCTAGCATTTTGTTCCTAACGTTTATCGACTATATTATTCATACTCAGTTTTGTATGCAGTCCGTGCGCTATTTTGACCAAATTTTGTAAGCGGTTCGTGCGCTCCGATAGGTTATCAAAAAATAAACCGGATGCATTTAGGCATAACGTACCACGTATTAACTATACGGCAAAAATCCGCCGTTCTGATTGGCCCACGGCGAAACGCAGTACGTTTTGTCCAACTAGGGTCCTAATCTGGTACGGTTTGTCGCCACGTGTTGAAACCACTTACTGGTATATGGCAATAAAACGTTTAAAATAGGAAATATATACGACATTCTTTGACACACTCCGCTTCGAATTACTTAAGCTACAGTAAGTGTAATTCCGCTACAATTAATACCGTATGCTAAAAACTTCATCTTTTTTCGAAGGTTACGCGTTAATTTCTTATATACGCGATATTGGATGTTTACGTGACTCGATAGAGAAAAAAATTACTTAGCACATTCGGAAATTAATCTGGAATTTTGCCTTGAAATTTAAAATGTATTTCTTATGGTAATAATTCTGTGGCCGTGTTGATTATGCGAGCGAATGAACGAATGAATTTGGTTTCAAAACTAATTGAAAACAAAAGATAAAGGGCTACAGTGCAATATTCAGAAAAGAAGAAAATTTCCCACGATAGTACATTGAGCGTTTTAGAAACGGAAGGAATGGACACGGGAAGAAATTCGTACTCTATTCAAACAGGCAACCGAGTCTCTGCAATAAGGGAGCGAACTGCATTAGACG